GACATAGCCATTTCTATACATCCTACAACTGGCTCAAGACAAACATAGCCGTATCTATACATCCTACAACTGGCTCAAGACAGACATAGCCATTTCTATACATCCTACAACTGGCTCAAGACAAACATAGCCATATCTATACATCCTACAACTGGCTGAAGACAGACATAGCCATTTCTATACATCCTACAACTGGATGAAGACAAACATAGCCGTATCTATACATCCTACAACTGGCTCAAGACAAACATAGCCATTACTATACATCCTACAACTGACTCAGGACAGACATAGCCATTTCTATACTTCCTACAACTGACTCGGGACAAAATAGCCGTATCTATACATCCTACAACTGACTCAGGACAGACATAACCATATATTCCACCTACAACCGATTGAAGCATGCTACACAATATGACTGACCAGTAGAGTAACGTTTATACGAATTCTGAATATTCAATATAACTGCTAGATTCTGATACTTAAAATATCACAATTACAATATCCACTGTTCCACATAACACCTTATTAGTGAGCATGATAAACAACAGAAAGTTACTGTTGTAACTCCTTCTTACAACCAACAGAAACTTAACTATTCTAACTCTTTCTTACAAACTATAAATTTCAATAGGATGCGTAATTTTTCTGTTTCATATAAGTCCTGGTTATTGAGCATGAAATTTAAAATATTAACTGCTTCTCAGTTTCACCAAACTGCTCAACAATAACAATGAAATAACACAAGTACTTTGATACACAGAATTCTACAAATCAGAAGACGACTTCGTATTTGACATTAAAAAAACCCGTATGTATTCAAGAATCAGAAAATTGATGTAGTCGTAGAATAAAGTTAGGAGCGTGAGAACACTCTTTAAACATTAATCAGGAGAAAAATACGTTATTTGGTATGTTAACTAGCTTGCTAACCTTTTATTGTTTTATATTCATCCAATTAAAAGACTCGTATTATTCTAAGTTTGTCCATCTTTAGTAACATTTACCCTTACCGGAACCGTGCAAAGATCAAGATGGATACCAGCAGCGCCACCAACGATATGAGGAGACCTGTCATCTCCATTATACGGGTTCCTTCAGCAAGTTGGAGTTTCCTCTGAAAGTAACAAAGTTATTTTATTTCGCTTTATGTTTGTTAAACACGCGAATGTATCTATCAGACATTTTGTCGGATATTACACTGAGAATGATCATTTCAAAAAGAAGACGAATATTAATAACGTTGTAATAAGTCCTTAAAGATAAAATTTATCATTTTATATTCATCACAGGAAATGAAAATATTCCGGTTGATGGGAAATTCAAATAATATTCGTTTCCTCTTTACCTCTACATCTTCTTTAGAAGTACTATGTAGTTTATTTAGAAGATAACGGACTTGGTCGGTGAAACAAGCCGAGTAGTTGGTCCAGCCAATTCCTGACGTGTCCGACTCTTGAAGTTCTCGAGATGCCCAATGACCGTCACTATTACACCGACGGCTCGCAAACCCTACAGTTTAAAAGAAGATTAGTGACTCTTAAATAGATGATGACATCAACTTATCTACAAAATAGATGATGATATCAACTTATCTACAGAATAGATGATGGCATCAACTTATCTACAAAATAGATGATGACATCAACTTATCTACAGAATAGATGATGACATCAACTTATCTACATAATAGATGATGAGCTAAACTTATCTACAGAATAGATGATGAGCTAAACTTATCTATAGAATAGATGATGATATCAACTTATCTACAGAATAGATGATGACATCAACTTATCTACATAATAGATGATGAGCTAAACTTATCTACAGAATAGATGATGAGCTAAACTTATCTACAGAATAGATGATGACATCAACTTATCTACAGAATAGATGATGACATCAACTTATCTACAGAATAGATGATGACATCAACTTATCTACAGAATAGATGATGATATCAACTTATTTACAGAATAGATGATGATATCAACTTATCTACAAAACAGATGATGATATCAACTTATGTATAGAATAGATGATGACATCAACTTATCTATAGAATAGATGATGAATCAACTTATCTACATAATAGATTATGATATCAACTTATCTACAGAATAGATGATGACATCAACTTATCTACAAAATAGATGATGAGCTAAACTTATCTACAGAATAGATGATGACATCAACTTATCTACAGAATAGATGATGATATCAACTTATCTATAGGATAGATGATGACATCAACTTATCTACAGAATAGATGATGACATCAACTTATCTACATAATAGATGATGACGTCAACTTATCTACAGAATAGATGATGACGTCAACTTATCTACACAAGTGATGATGACGTCAACTTATCTACAGAATAGATGATGATATCAACTTATGTATAGAATAGATGATAACATCAACTTATCTACAGTATAGATGATGAGCTCAACTTATCTACAGAATAGATGATGACATCAACTTATCTACATAATAGATGATGACATCAACTTATCTACAGAATAGATGATGACATCAACTTATCTACAGAATAGATGATGACATCAACTTATCTACAGAATAGATGATGACGTCAACTTATCTACATAATAGATGATGACATCAACTTATCTACATAATAGATGATGACATCAACTTATCTACATAATAGATGATGACATCAACTTATCTACAGAATAGATGATGAGCTCAACTTATCTACAGAATAGATGATGACATCAACTTATCTACACGAGTGATGATGACGTCAACTTATCTACAGAATAGATGATGACGTCAACTTATCTACACAAGTGATGATGACGTCAACTTATCTACACAAGTGACAATGTACTAGAACACAAATTGTGTTCGTTATTTTATTGTTTTGAAATGTCCAATGACGATAACATTGATATTCTGTTTTAGACTTGTATAACAGTAAGATTTCCGACTCAAGAATCTACCACATGTTAAAAGGTAAACAAACTATATCGTTTCTTTAGATGGTTACAGTTTCTAATGTGTTTCCAAAAAAAAAACAGAATATATGTTACACAAAGTGTTGTAAACATTTCAACTGTTTGTATGGTGTTAATAAACTCGAACAAAATACTTTATTTAAAAAAAAGCAATAATTTAATATCAATTTTCGCTTGTTATCGTATTCATTAATTTAATATCAAATTTCTCTTGTTATCGTGTTTATTAATTTCATATCAATTTTCGCTTGTTATCGTGTTTATTGATTTAATATCAAATTTCGCTTGTTATCGTGTTTATTGATTTAATATCAAATTTCTCTTGTTATCGTGTTTATTAATTTTATATCAAATTTCTCTTGTTATCGTGTTTATTGATTTAATATCAAATTTCGCTTGTTATCGTGTTTATTGATTTAATATCAAATTTCGCTTGTTATCGTATTCATTAATTTCATATCAATTTTTGCTTGTTATCGTGTTCATTAATTTTATATCAAATTTCGCTTGTTATCGTGTTCATTAATTTTATATCAAATTTCGCTTGTTATCGTGTTCATTAATTTTATATCAAAGATCGCTTGTTATCGTGTTCGAATAATTAATTTTTGCATATTAACTTTCGGTTTATAGGAAAGAAAAGATGGCGCTTTGAATATACGGAATTTTATATCATTAAAAAAACAGATCCGACTGGCATCTGTTCCGCAAGCATACAGATATTGACGCTAGGAGACACGTTGTTCTCTTGTACACAATACGTGGTTGATGTGTATGGAATGTTATTAATAACAATTCGCCTCCAAACAACATCAAAAAACAACTGTTACTGCTTGGGGTTTTTATGAAATGTTAGAATTGCAACACGCCATCTTGGCTTCAGAATCAATTTCCCACTTTTGTTTTCTATTTGGATGTTAGTAAACAAGTAGTCTCAGGAAATTACCTGGTCTACATTGTCACAAGTATGATTATTGGCTCGGAACGAGGGTATTTTTACATCGCGCTGCTGCCTGCGTCACTTTGACGTTTTGAAGCATGGGAAAACTACGACATTCGAGAAATTTACAAAACACAGATACGAGATGATATTTCTAATTCTCCAGTTAAACACTGAAAAAGATAGAAATAATCATATCCGGTTAGGCGATGTTGTGGTCATTATGTCTGACAGATTATCGGTATACGCTGAAATACATATGAGCAATGCCCCTGCTAGCAATTTTTCATCAAAATCCAAATTTATCATTGAATAACACCGTTACTCCCAAGCTTCAGACTGGTGTGCTTCATTGAATAACACCGTTACTCCCAAGCTTCAGACTAGTGTACTTCATTGAATAACACCGTTACTCCCAAGCTTCAGACTGGTGTACTTCATTGAATAACACCGTTACTCATAAGCTTCAGACCGGTGTACTTCATTGAATAACACCGTTACTCCCAAGCTTCAGACCGGTGTACTTCATTGAATAACACCGTTACTCATAAGCTTCAGACTAGTGTACTTCATTGAATAACACCATTACTCCCAAGCTTCAGACCGGTGTATTTCATTGAATAACACCGTTACTCCCAAGCTTCAGACCGGTGTATTTCATTGAATAACACCGTTACTCCCAAGCTTCAGACTAGTGTATTTCATTGAATAACACCATTACTCCTAAACTTAAGAAGACTTTAGTTCTAATTATTATAAAACAATGAATGTTTTAAATCAACATTGTCGTGGAGAAACAAAATGTCACAGACTTACTTGATGTGATCAAACCCTTCAGAGGCGGACAAGATAAGAAAACCGAACTGTCTGTTTTAGTCGGAGGCCAGCACAAAAATCCGTCCCAGACAGTCTCGCAATAACTACGGCTCGCTGGAAATTACACACACAAGTTAATCAAAATGACAGATTAGATGTAACAATTCTGAAACATAAATCAAATAACATTATAATAAGTTAATAAACGTTGCTATTGTTGCGTCAGCGAGGTCACGTGGCTAGTGTCACGCCACTTCTCTCGAACGGAGACGTAACACTATTATATTATACAATAACTTCTGCATTTCATCAGTTGATGTTTATCAATTCAAATTATTACAAACTTTTTTACAGCTTTTTTAAACTATTTGTATATGAACGTTTGTATATTAATGGAGTTATAAGATACTTATATTCCCGTAAGGTGCATATTTCTAATTTTAAACTGAAAGAAACACGTTTCACTTGTTTTTTATGCAATTTAATAACATAAGTGTCTTGTAATTATCAGTTTACCATATATGGATAAATATTCTTTAATTGTTAAAAATTAGCTAAAGAATATCGGAGAGTGTGCTAGCACTATCTATCTAGGGATGGCACGGACACCCGTATTAAAGTAATACAAAAAAACATCTGGATTTTCTTCTCTACAAGTCATCAGAAGCTAGATATGAAAAGCTACCTGATATAGTCGCTCTGTCTCCGGTGTATATGCCGCTTTTCAGCTATACAGAGCGTCCCAAAGTCAAAAACTGGCGAATAGCCAATACCGAGATTCCTTATTTTCGTTCATCATTATCTTTCTTTAATAGGCCTAGCACCTATCTAGTTCTAACAGTAACTATAACTTTATTATAATTTGATAGAGAAAACAGTCTTCCGGTCTTTGAAAACCTATTTCATTATTATTATATACAAGATTTATAAATCTTTAGAATACACTTTATAATCTAGTAACTCACGTTATAAAAAACGAGTAAACAAACAGGTATTAGGAAAAGAAAATATCGCTAAATAAAAAGTTATGTAGGGTTAGCTAATGAACTGAAAAAAGGAACCAAACAAGATAGGGATGGAAGTGGACATATCACCTGATCTGGCTAATGATCACATAGCAGACTAAATGTCTGAACTTTACATGAAGAATAAAATCCCTACATTACTGACTTCCCTACTTTGTTTATCAAAAGCTTGGTGTTTGAATACAGTCTCAACTTTCATCATTATAACTTTCCTTTAGTTAACTGTAGAATACTACTTTTATGACTGTTTTATAATAGAGTAACATTTTATGATTGGAAATTCTAGTCCTGTTCGTTTTGCCAGTGTAGACGCCAGTAATGTAGGGATGTTATTCTCCATGTAAAGTCGAGACGGCTTAGTCTGCTATGTGATCATTAGCCGGATCAAGTGATATGTTTACTTCCATCCCTATCTTGTTTGGTTCCTTTTTTCAGTTCATTAGCTAACCCTACATAGTTTTATTATTTAGCAAAACTGTTTTACCTAATACTTGTCACTAAAGGTGTGTAAACAAAGATGTGGTTAAGCCTACATTCTTTACTTGTCACTAAAGGTGTGTAAACAAAGATGTGGTTAAGCCTACATTCTTTACTTGTCACTAAAGGTGTGTAAACAAAGATGTGGTTAAGCCTACATTCTTTACTTGTCACTAAAGGTGTGTAAACAAAGATGTGGTTAAGCCTGCATTCTTTACTTGTCACTAAAGGAGTGTATACAAA